CCAGAATCCTAGCCCCCCTGACAGTGAAATAGTGCCTCTCTCACATCTCTAACAAACCTATTCTCCAGCAGCTTCTGGCCATTGTTCCTTGTCACCCCAGGTGCTGCTGGGGGGAATAGGGCCCTTCCTATTTGCTGCTGATCTCCCCGAATGAGTTTGTAGGCAGCCAGCAAATCTCCCCTGAGCCTCCACTTGCTGAGGCCGAACAGGTTCAGGTCCCTCAGCCTCTCCTCATAAGGCCTGCCCTGTTGCCCTCCAACCAAGTGGGTGGCCCTTCTCTGAACCCTCTCAAGGCAGGCTACATCCTTAAAGTGTGGTGCCCAGAACTGGACGCAGTACTCCAATTGTGGCCTGACCAATGTCACGTAGAGGGGGAGTATCACCTCTCTGGACCGGCTTGAGATGCAACTTTGGATGCAGTTTGCTTTGCTGGCTGCGGTCTGGCATTGGCAGCTCATGTTCATCTTGGAGTCAATAATGACTCCAAGATCCCTTTCCGCCTCTGTGCTCACAAGGGGGGAGCTCCCCAGCTTGTACGTATGCTGTGGATTCCTTCTCCCCAGGTGCAGCACCCTGCATTTATCTACATTGAACCACATCTTATTACCATCCGCCCACTTCTGTAGTCTGTCTAAATCTAATTGTAGCCTCTCTCTCCCTTCAAGCGTGCCTACCTCTCCCCACATCTTGGTGTCATCGGCAAACCTGGACAATGTGTTTTCCACACCCCCGTCCAAGTCACTGATGAAGATGTTGAACAGTGTAGGCCCCAGGACCAAGCCCTGGGGGACCCCACTATTCACATCCCGCCAGGTCGAGTATGACCCATCCACCACCACTCTCTGGGTGTGCCCCATCAGCCAATTTTTGATCCATCCAACTGTGTAGGCATCAATGCCACAGTCGCTCAATTTATTAATGAGAATGGGGTGAGAGACAGTGTCAAAGGCCTTCTTAAAGTCTAGAAAGACTACGTCCACGGCAACACCATCATCCAAGGATTTAGTTACTTGGTCATAAAAGGCAATCAGGTTGGTCTGGCAGGACCTGCCTTTGATGAACCCATGTTGATTTCCCCTGGGCATGATCTCCCCTGCTGGCTCCTCACAGATGTGATCCTTGATAATTATTTCAAGGATTTTCCCCAAGACAGTAATCTTTCATTACTGGACCATTTGCTATTAAGCCACTCTTACCCAAATTGACCAAAATAACTAAGGAACTGCATAACAAAAATTTTTTCAAGACTCCTGTAAATTGTTTTTGTCAACATAAGGCATATATATAACAGAGATGCTGGTTATATTTTCACAGTTTGGGCTGGACTGAGTTCCATACTTAAAGAAATTATTTACCCTATGTGTATATAAAAAACACAGCATACCCCCCCTCCAAAATTCACTATTTAGTTTGGAATATTGAACAAAGCTTTCTGAGAATTCACATATAAATCTGATTTAACACTAACACAAATGGGTCTTTTGAAAATGTAGTAACTTCCCAACCCTTTCTTTCCTGGATTATCTCAGCAGTGAAACAACATGTTCCTTAAATTTTTCATTAAAAAAATCATTAAAATCTAGCATAGAAAATACCTTAATTGCAACTGAATTCCTGAATAAGTTAGCCAACACTGTTAATATGTGATTATAGACATGTCCAACTTGGGTCATTCTTAATTGTGCTATGCCATTAAAGAGTATACAACCAATCATCGGGTGAATTTGAAGGTTGCAATTCTCCCTTTTTTAAGTGGCATAAGATATAGGACTTGCGTCAATAATTCTTAGTAGCAGGATCCTTGGCATCCACTGTCACTGATTCATAACTAAAGGTTCTATGGCTGCTAGTTATTTTGGGCACTGGTGTCTTCACATCATGGTGCAAGGTGGAGCACTGCCAGGGAGAGCACAAGCAGGAATACACAAAAAGCCATTAAAGCACAAAGATTGTAGAACTCAGGGACTCAACTGAGCTGCAATCTTAGACTGGAATGTAGTGCTAGATTCCCAAAAGAGGTTCCCTTCCTTAAAAACAGCCCTATTCCCTCTAGGTCAAACAGGTATCTCCAGTTGCATCTATCCCAACCAGCACAGCATGCCCACTTCCTCCTTTGAATCCCTAAAGAGGTTCCCAATCTGTGGTATGGGTACCACCAGTGGTACAGACAATCTGTCAGTGGTATGCGTTAAAAGATTTATTATAATTACTTATATGACAAAAATTTGCTGGTGGTACTTACGGTTGTATCATTTTAAACTGGTGGTGCGCAATCTGTCTGAGTTTGGGAACCACAGACCTCTCCCCACCCTTTCTCTGTTAATGGCATGAAGTTGTAAAAGCAGCTTGAAATGATCAAGTTTGCTCTTGGTGACTGAAATAAAGCAGCCAGAGAATCTGGCCCTAACAGTGAATACTACACATCTTCAAACAATTAGCATAACCACATGGTAGCTTTCTTAGTCTCTGATAAAGAATTACAATTTTACTATTTTAAAATTAGTAGTAAATGAAAAAGGAAATTCTCAGCTTGCAGGTACATAACAGTAACGTGAAGGGTTAAAACTTTAAGAGGAAATTTTAGTTATCCTAAAAGCAAGAACTGCTAGCTCAGGAAAGTCGAACCCCTTGCTCTAACAATAGTGCATTATGTAGTGATGATGAACAATTATGATGAATGCATTATAGCTTAGTTGGTCCCAGATTAAAGAAAGACATTTCCCCTTTGTTGTTTCTTTTTTCCTCATGGGTGTTCCCGATACTAAGACATATTTCTTTATTTTTGTTTTGAATTAGCTAATACCTAATAACTAATGAAGAAAATTGCAGTAAAGAAAATTTGCTCATAACTATCTCTAAAGCAATGCAAGGAGACATTCTACTTTTTCAATAAACCAAACTATTGCAGTATTTGCATTCACAGTGTTAAAACAGCAGGCACACAAAATGACATCAACAGAATAAACTGTTTGTTTTCCCTGCACTTAGTTTAGTTAAACGTCTGTTTTTAAAACCTATATATGAAAGTTTTAAGATTTTAATTAAAAGACTGAGATTTGTATATCAATTTGCAGGAGAGAATTTTTCACAAGTTAACTTTTAACATCTGTACTTCACACCACATTATTTCCAGGTAATTCCTCATATAGTTATATTTTTCTGTGAAAATGTTTTCGGATTCCTACCTTGTTTACCCAACACATTTTCCAAAACATTTAGTGAATCTTTGCAGCATCAGGTCGTTACTACCTCTCGGCCACCCTATTTGTTGGCTACTCTTCTTTCAACTTCTCATTTTTATTTTCTAAAAATGTAAATTCTTGTAGCAAATGCCAAGCCTTCTTTTGTGCATGTACAGCTTTTACCTTAGGAGGGAGGTTAGTGGAAAAATAAATCATAAAACAAAACATACCTTTCCAGGAGTGAAAAAAGATTTCATTTCTGGAGGAAGATAATTTTTCGTGTTACTGAAATTCTGTAAGCAAGAGAAAAAGATATCAACAAACAAATTAGGAGGGGAGGGAGAAGATATATTTGATGTTGCACTAACATTTTTAAATATCTGAAATTCTTTAAACCAGTGATATTTCTGACCCCAATATAAAAAACTTAGAACATGGAATGACCTGAGATATTACTGGAATGGTTATTACTAAAAAGAATAAGTTACAGAGCTATTTAAATAAGACTCAAAATTACAGTTGTATATTCGACTCTTCAATGCAGTTTGACTTGCAAAATAATCCATTTCGAACCCCAAATTATACCTTGTCAGGTTGAGTGAAATATCGGGCTGGAAGAACAGGATCTTTAGGGGATTCCAAACTGTATGTTGTACTTTTTGACATAATGATATTCATTGCTACATCACAAACTGTGTAGAGTTTCTGCAAATTACAAAATAAAAATTATAACATCTCAAGGTTAAAAATGGTACATACAATTAATTGTAATTTTTTTCAACTATTATTGCATCTGTGCTGACCACTGGTAATGATTATCATCCACTGACAACTCTCTCTAACTGTTAAAGTGCTCATACATTCCCACAAAAAAAGATGTTAAGTGCAACTATCAACACAAATACTTTTTTTTTTTTTTTTTTACACACACAAGAAAGGACTAGTCAGAAGTGAGCTTTCTTTAACATATTTTAATATGCAAAAAGCACATTCCCTATTTTCACTAATAAAGACCACCACACCAGAAGAACTTTTTTTAGTTTCCAATGGATATACAAAGCATACCAAATTCTTGTAAATTCCACCAACACAAAACCTTATTGTTGACTTGATACTTCTTCTGTGTAGCTATAAATACCTGCTTTGGATCAACTCCTCACATAGTTACTTAGGATATACCTCTACAGCCCAGTGCATCATTTAGATACCCTAGTTACCTCCAAAACCAAAAGCAGTACACCCAAGTTAATACACCTATATTGTGGACCCAAGTTAATATTATTGCATTGCAATGGATTGTGCTATGTAGTCACACCAGTTCATTTTGAGCACTGTCCTGTATTATGTAGACATACATTTAATGCGGAGTAGCTCACAGTATGGACGTATGAACAATTTACAGTGGAGAAACAGGGGGCAAGGATTTACAGTATAACAGCAGCTCCATGGTAGCAACCTATATGTCCATTCTTAGCACGCAGTAAATGGAAGTTAAAACCATAGTAATTCAGCCCTCATTGAAAGAAGGCTTAAATTTGAAACCATTCTTTATACTACCTTGCAATTCTTTTGTATTACTGCAAAGGAGAAAACCCACCACCTTACAAAGCTTAACTTTAAACCCATATGTATTTTATGCATATATGAAGGAAGTATTTGATGAAAGATAATACTGAAACAAAAGTAAAATAGAAAAACCAGATAAGTTCTTGTAATTATTCCATCTAGCTTGTAAAGAAATTAGACCTCTAGGCTAGGAACAGACATTACACATAAACTGGTTTAAGTGATCAGAAACTGGTTTAAACCTGTAATAAAACAGATGTTCAGTGCACATAAACCAGTTTCAAAATGGGTGAAACTGGTTTAAAGATAAACCTGGCTGGATGTAGTATCAGACTTAACTGATTTGCAATGCCTGCCCTTCCTGGTTTAAGTTAAACCAGACTCTCCCAGCATCCTGGCATGCTCTCTCAGCTGGGTTCTCTGCTCCAGACAGCAGAGCTGGTCCTGCCCCTCTGCTCCCTAGCCAGAGCTCCAGCAGAGACTGCATGTACAGTAGGGTCTACCTGGCTTCCCCCTTGCCCCACCCCTCCTCGCTGCTCAAGCAGGGATTCCCCCCCACTCCTATTTCCCACAGCACGGACTGCAGCCCTACAAACCATAGGCACGTGGTATGCTATCTAATGCGGAGAGGTGCCTGTGTCTCCAATTTCACTGGGACAGCCAGATAGAACAGTGTCCACCTTAGGGCTTTTTGGAGCTAATCAACAGGTCAGCTGGTAATTCCTAGCTTGGAAAAAGCTGTTTAAGAAGAGCTTAAACTAATGGAGAGAGGCTGTTGTTTTGATGATGGGGTGATAAACACTGCTAACAGCACCCTGTTGGTTTGCTTACTTGTCGTTTTGCTGCAGACAGTATGAAGAAGCAAAGAGGAAGATTGAAAAACTCCATATCATCAGATGCATGCACTGCACACACACCCTTTGCCTCAGTGCTAGATGGGGGCTGGTAACACTCCCGCCTCTTGAGCAGCCAGTGGGAAAAAGCCTGGGATGGTGCAGGCAGACCTCCCTAATCAGAGCATCCTGCCTGGGCCTGGCCACGCCTCCCCTCAGCTCAGCACTAGAGAAGGGACAGCTGATCTAGCACCTCCCCAGCTTTTAGCCTGAGCCACTGCAGGCATGTGCCTGAATATCCTCAATCCGCAGAGAATATCTGTGCAGATACAAACCAGTTTAGCCTAGCCAGGCTAGACTAACCTGCAAAGGTTGAATCAATTCAGGATCAGGCTTTTTGAATGTCTGTCCGTAGCCCTACTGAAATCCAGTAAAGTAACAAGACAGTTACCACCATATAGAACATCCAATGCCATCAGTATAGTCGTACAATACACACACACCCACACACATAGCCCCCAAACCATTTTAAAATAAATGAAAAATGTCTGTTTTCTGACAGAATTGGAATTAAAAAAGAAAAAGCAGCGTGCAGTAAAAAGCACATACTTCATTCATTTTGGGATCATCTGGTCCTTGAGCATCTTTTGTCTGTTTAATGTTTTCCACCATTTTTCTGATAAATGCATGACTATTATTCTCATTTTTAGCCATCAATATTTCCAGTATGAACCACAGGCATCTAAGGGAAAAAAAAATTCTTCATTAAACTGCAAATGAAAGCCTCATTTGAAAATACAATTTACTTTGGCATGGATTCATCCACCGAGCAGTTTGGCTTTTAGGAATGAATTCAACTATTATAAAGATTTGCTAAAGAAGTTGGGAAGGACTGAATGAAAATGAAATGAATGAATGAAAATGAGAAAACAAGAAGAACGTTTTACTTATAAAAGTGCACTGCCAATGCAATTGAGCAAAATAGAGAAATTGGCTAGAGATGTTTACTATTTTCACTGCATTTAAGAAAATAATTATGTATTGGACAGTTTATTTTATTATCCAACCTTAAAGGTTATCATAGACCATCTCCCAAAATAATGTAAGATCATAGTGAACATGAAGCATCCAAATATTCATATCCAAGGAAATAGTCTTACTCTTTAATATCCTTAAGTTGTTCGATATCCTGGACTTTGACATAATCTGGGTCATGTGCCAGCAGGTGGATAGTATAAGGAACAACATACTCTGGCAGAAGTGACAACAGTTTTTCTAAAAGCATAGAATAAAGAAAAACAAATATGTGTTACAAAACATACTTTCAAGAATGTGTTTTACCATTAAATATTGCTCTTTATTTCTTTATAAATCAGTCTGCATCAACCAGCTGAATAATGTTTTGGTGGCAATAAAGAGGAGTTACTTTGTGGTTACTGTGGTTCTTTAAAGACACTCTCAGCATGGATGCTTTATGAATCTACAAGCATCACATAGGGCAACAATTTGTTGTTTTGACTTGGGGTGGGGGCAGTTAGAACTATGTTGAGGCAAACTGTTTGTACAATTTGTGCCACCTCAAACTTCTACTCAAAGGGGCACAAAAAGCAGGACAGTCACAACTCTCCCTCAGTTTCCTTACAATTTAAAGCTCATGTTTCACAGAATTCCAGAAGGAGGGATGAAAGACCAGTGTAGGATCTACACTGTCTGTCATATCTCAAAGAAATATAGCTACTATAGGATAAACACCATTCGTTTGATACTGTCAGTCTGAAACTCTGGGCTGATAGGTGACTATAAAGCAGTAACATGCAATCCAACATTCAAGCCAACAGATGCAACTACTGTAGGTCAGGCATTCTAGAAGGTGTGAGAGGTTTGCCTTGATATCTGCAAACAGGTCTAACTGCCAAAGCTGTCAATATGCAAATATTACAACAATCCAAATCTCATCCTGTATGGTCATAAATAGCATTCTGGGAAAATAGGAGTCCACAAGATTCTTGTTCCCATCTTTGGCCGTTTTCACAGGGCCTAAAGCCAAGCTGCAGAAGTGCGGCTGAGGAGAAGGCCCCAAAGTCCGTTTCTGAGTGACCAAAGAATGAACTTTTGTGGATGTGACAACCAGCTTGATCAACAAAGTAAAGGAAGCAAGCAGTATGTCCAGCCAAACCAGTAAAGAGATCCAATTACACAGAGCACAAGGTCTGAAAAAAGACATTATAATGGAAGACCATATATTTGGATTATCTAATGTACCATACCATAGCTTTGGCTTATAGTAATTTATATAACCAAATGTATTAGGTACTTTTTTCTTTTTACTATAATAGATATATTTTTGTTTAGATCCTTAGATAAGTTGTTTAAAAAAAAGTATTGTTTACAGAAAACCATCAATTTTGAGGAAGAGAAAAACAGAATGATAGCAAGTAGTTGATAATGGTGAAGGAAGGAAATAAGGCATGCTCCACTGCAAAAGTGCAATTTTCACAGAAACATAAATCCCAACTGACACCTTTCATCTCCACAAGAAAACTGGTTCAGTCCAGTTCCAAAAGTTACAGTGAAACAAAGAAATGTAAATAAAAGCAATCAAAGATCATTTATTAGACTATTAGAGAACCAGCCATATATAAATGTGGAATATGAGCAAGGGGGAATTTTAGTGAACTCGGCAAATTTAAGACCTGTTGCCAATCTGTATGCCACCCTCCTCCTCCCTCTCGAGTTTCCCCAGACAGTATAGGGGAGAATCTATGTTGTGCTGTCACAGGTAGAAGACAGAAAGACTTTGAGATAAGGGTTTGTTTTTGTGTTTTGAGGTGTGAGCAAATAAATGTCAGGCTGTAGACCTGTTTTGGCCTCTCTTATCAGTAGCCAACCTGCAAGGTAACCTGTAATCCAGGTAACACTATCAGAAACAGGCACATGGCAGGGAGCATGGACTCATCTCCTCTGCAAAATCAAAGACTTGGCATTACCCGGTCTTATAACAAAGGAATAGTGGGGCACCACAGCCAGCAAATTATTGGGCCTAGAATGGATCTTTGTTAAGACTTATAGATCAGTGGGAAGGGGGGTGACCTTTTTGGCAAATGTACCATAAATTAGCCAATCCCTTTCCCT